CAGCAATGTATAGTTCGACTGTGAGCAGAACAAAATTGTATGTCGATGTTTCTGACGCATATAAGAATAAAGACATCATTTTACAGAATATGTTTCCACCAGTGCCTTCAGGAACCTCGAGAATATTGAAGATCAAAAACATAAGGGAGCCAATTAAATCAATCACAGTTTGATGGAGAAGTAATTTGAGTGACAGGGACTTCTTGTAAGTCTTGTTGTAAATGAACACAACTATAACAAATAACGGTTTCTTCAGTGCTGTTCTCTTCAACAAACCTATTTGTCTCTTGATTACAATGTGATATTAGAACGAGTTGTGGTAAGATTTCATTACTGGCTGAGCTACCAGAAATTTTCAATAATAGATGAGATAATTTCCATATTCAATTTAATTTTTTTTTAGTGGGATCAATATTTTATTTATTCATTTATTAAAGTGGGACAGTACATAACTGATTGATTGAATTTATTTATATTTAAAAAAAAAGGGGGAAAAAAAGCACAATATAAAAAATTACTAGGATGAAGCACGCTAAAATGCACAAGGCACTTATTTCTAATGTGGTTCTTACATCACATGGCCCTTGGAACTGGGTGGGGGAGCTGGACCAACCCACATTTTGGCAGAAAATATGTCAATGCAGATTTTTGTGTGATTGGAAAAAAATGCAAAAAAAGAAAGAGGGAAGTAGGAGGAAAGTGAGGGAAAAAGTGTGTTTATCCAGTCCCCGGCTGAGTTACATTTACTCGCAATTCACATTGGCGGATCGGGGGGGGGGGGGGGGTCAATGTCAAGGGGTCCTGACCCTCCAACCTTGGGCAAAAAAACAATTTAAGTAAAACAAAAAATCTAGACCTACCTCTTCAGGACCCGTCAGCTGAATTTTTTTTTTGTTACAATAAGAAAATTAGAAGTTGGAAAACCTCATTTCCCGCCATCTAGAGCCATCATCCCGGTTTCTAGAGGCGGGAAATACTTTGAATTCTGAAGAACTTAAAAGTAATAAAAGACGCTTCAAACACCGGGAAAGCTCATTACCCGCCAATTAGAAATCAACATTTTCCCAGGGGTACTCGAATCCCCCTTTCTCTTTGAGATTCATTGATTCATGGAATCGTTTTCAAGAGGGGAAACCTTCAATTAAACTTAAAAGTATAAAAGACACCTCAAAATTTGGGAAAGCTCATTTCCCGCCATCTAGAAGTCAACATTTTCTGGACCCCCCCCCATCCCCCGAAAATTTGAACCCAGACCCCCTGATTCATATTCCCATTCATTTTACTAGTGGGCCCCCGACTTTGAAAAACATTCCACCGGCCCTGCATCATCATTAATAATAATTGTGTTTAAGTGCTTTATCATATATTTTACTAAAAAATGCAAAAGTTGAATTCTGCCCTCTAAAAACATCAACAAGTTAATGGAATAAATATCTCCTTATACCATAAATATGCCGGTGATGCTGAATATCTTATGGGGATATTTGTCTTCAATTCAAATGGTGTGTTTTTAAGGAATCTGGTGACTTTGTCTTATCCTAATATAATCAATAAAAATGGTTACACAACAGTCCAATAGAAAGAAATCTCATTATCTCACGGAAGTGCTTCTCTCAACTTCTTTCCCAATCTTCCCTTCCAACTCTTGAGCAATTTATATCCGCAATTCAACCTAATTACGAGCAAAAACACAACTGCACCCCATTGTGCCATGGATCATTGATGATCTGTTGATGTGACTCACAATGAAGATCAAGATGAAGATGCAAAACTCATGGGTTAAAGTTCGCTATGGCAAAATCACATGGTTTTAAAGCGACCAATCATCTACAACTGACTATATGTTGTTCAACAAATTTATTGACAAATTTTAAAAAGAAAAATTATTGAAAATGAGGATTATAAGTTTCATAATGAGTGTGACTGTATGTCTTGTGTTTTGAATAAATAATAATAAAAAAAACAGGTAATAAATTAGGATGAGGAGTGACAATTGATAGCAAACAACTGAATTTGGAATTTTTCAAAAATATTGACAGAATTTCAAAATTGAATTTTCCAAAGAGTTTAATAAATGTAACAAAACTATTCTTTAGGCTAACTGTCTATAAAATTCAACTATGTTTTGCTGATTTACACACATTTTATTACAAAAAGCCATAAATTGGTAATAAGCCAACTTTAATGTCTGTAGAATATAGAAAGAGTTATTATTTATAACTATTGACTGACGATTTCTAGAAAGATAATAAACTACTTAAAAATATTAGTATTCCATTAGGATGTGAACTGAGTTAAGTACAAATTGTACAAATGCCACTCAAAAAGTTGACACGCCCATTTTATTCAATAAAATGTCCTTGTCAATTTTTTTAGTGAAATTTATACTATGGTATTTATATTAGAATACAATTCCAATATTAATATTTTCACGTTTACTTCCACCTCAAACAGTATATATTTAATATGTCTCTATTAACATACTCAATTTTGTGATTCTCCCTGAAACATCTCATATCTGATCTTTAAAGTAAATGCCATACAGATTTAAATCCATCAGAAAAAAAACCTGCCTCAATAAATATATAAATCAACACAATGGCATATGAAATTATGAAACACATCAACATACCAATAGAGTTTGGAGTCATTGTATCAATATAAACAAATGCAATTAAGGTATGTGTAGTCAATAGATCTGACTCAACTCTTTAAGCTCTTCCACCATTACTTAAGTTGAATACAATAATGAATGGAGAACAGCAATGTATCGTTCAAATGTAAGCATGACAAAATTGTATGTTGATGTTGCTGACGCGTACAAGAAAAGAAATCATATTTTACAGATAATGATTTCAACAGCGCCATCAGAAACAGCAATGTTTTGTAAAATATATCAGGGAGCCAATCAAATCATTCACAGTCTGATGGAGAAGTAATTCAGCGACATAAGACTTCTTGTAGGTGTTGTTGTAGACGAACACAAATATGACAATGGAGTTTGCAATGATGCCAATACAAGCAAATACAGAACAACTTATGACTAGCAACAACGGATCTTGCAGTTGTATGCAAAGCTGTGATATTCTAGATACAGCCATAGTTTCCTTAAAGCTATCTAGTATTTGTGAAATGTTTGGCATCTGTAGTATAAAATAAATGGGTAGAAAAAGCAATATGGTATAGCAATTTTGTCTCTTGATTACATTATGACAGAAGAACGTATCATAGTTCCATTTTATCAAGTTTGGAATTTCTATATTCATTGATTTAATATATTTTTTGTAGGTGAAATTCTATAAATCATTGTTTAATGCGGGTCAGTACGTAATTATACTGTAACTTAGAATCCATGTCTTTGTTAACATTGTACAGTATCAGTAAAGCACCGCTGTGCTTTAATCAGAGTATAAACTCTAGTAACCATCGACAAAATAATAATCAGAATATATTAGTGGGAACTATTCGCGCAAATGAAGTCTTTATGGGGGGACATTGTTCTCAATTTAATAACTTTCCGAGAGCTGAGTTGGTGTCCAAGATGAACTTTTTTTTTCGAATAAATTTTTTTATCAGAACTTCAAAACTAGTTTATGCTAAGCAATTATAATTGGATTTTAATTGTTCGTATCAAAACTAGTTTATGCTAAGCAATTATAATTGGATTTTAATTGTTCGTATCTCGCATTTTACCCTTGTAAATTGAACATTTTAACTAGTTTTTCGCTGCAATTCTTGTATTGTTTTTGCTCTCCGAGTGTTATTTTTTGCTCTCTGTCATTATTAAATAATGTTCTTTTGAACGAAATAAATGAAATGAAATTCAAATGGTTATGTTTTAAGAAATCTGTTGACTTCATCTTATCTTGAATTCCGAGAGTATATATTTAATGTCTCTCTTAACATACTGTACTCAATTTTGTGATTCTAACCCTGGAATATCTGTGCTCTGATTTTTTGAAGTCCTCGTTGAAAATCCTTGCATGCCATACAGTAGATAAATGGATTGATAGCAAGATTTAAATGCAGTGCCAACACACTCACCTCAACAGCTATAGAACTGACACTATGGCCTATGAGATGCAGGAAGAAGGTAGCATAGTGTGGAGTTTCTGTAACAATGTAAACAAATGCAATTAAGATGAGTGTAGTCAACATATCTGATTTTATGCTTTGAGCTCTTCCACCATTATTTGGTTGAATGTTAGCTGAAAGGTCAATACTAACTATTCTTGTTTTGTGTAACTTCACCAGTATTTTTACATAACAGTAGAGCATAATGCTGAGGGGTACCAGGAACTGAAAATTGTTTATTAACATACCAGCAACAGCATTAATTCCAAATGTACATACTTTCACATATGGATGTATGTCTATATATATAGGAATAGATATCATTATGAGTACACCGCATACATGGGGGCCCAGGAGTGAAAGGTATGTAATTTTCTCACTCAAGGACTTCTGGCGATAAAATAAGGGATGGACGACAGCAATATAGCGTTCCACTGTAAGCATAACAAAATTGTATGTTGATGTTGCCGATGCATAAAAGAAGAAAAAACGCATTTTACAGAATATGATTCCACCATTGCCATCAGGAACATCGATGGTGTAGAAGATAAAAAACATCAGAGAGCCAAACAAATCAATCACAGTTTGATGGAGAAGTAATTTGAGCGACAGAGACTTGTAAGTCTTGTTGTAGACGAACACAAATATGACAAATGAGTTGGCAATTACACTGATACTACCAACTACCCAACGAGCTATGACCAGCAGAATGGGTTCTTGCAGTTCTATGCGAGGTGTGTCATGTGAAGATACATTCATCATAGTTTTCTTTTTTTATCGTCGGCAAAGCAGCAGATAATACAAAATGTTTATCAGATATTTCTTGTATATAATATTATAGCAAAACTTGTAATTTCAGTGGTAGTATTCCATTTAAAGTGTCTTCAGTGCTGTTCTCTTTAACTTGGTAGTCTATAGAACTTACATTGGTACAGTACGTTCTACTGAAATATGAACAGTTATGAATTTTCTATAATAATGGTATTGTCATTACATGCCTTACTTCATATTCATCAACTTGATATTTATTTTTATTGAAATTAAATTTATTAATTATTCATTGAATGTGCAACACACTTTGTAACATAGAACCCTTTCTTTGTTAACATGCATTAATACAATACTATGGAGCAGAATGTGTGCCAACATTCTATGCCCTAAATTTAAACTTCAGTGTCGCCAAAATCGACTCGGAATTGAGCTAGGCTGCCCTAGCTAATAGATGCTAGTAGTAGAAGGCTAGGCCTGTTTATATATATCAAGGTTTATTCAAAACATATTGCGGTCACAGCAAAAGCTGAATTAATACAATATTTACAGAAAACACTAAAAAAAAAAAAAAAAAAAACAAACAAATAAAATATATAAAACCAGCACATATAAAAAAAATTCATTACCAAGAAATTTCATTATGACAACAAATTAAAGCTACTAATTTTTGTCATGGAATTGGACTATGACTATGACGTTTAGTACGGATTTTAGGCATGGAAAGTGAGTCGGCATTTCTGAGGGAGAAACCACTTTCTTCAGATCTTAATTTTGGTAACCAGTCACGGAATTCAATAGACTTCATTAAGGAAATAGCAAAAGTGTAACAAATATTGTCCCGTCTCTTCTTTAGCTCCTCGATATTATATCAGCGTATATAGACAGGCCTAGCAATTCAACCTAATTACGAGCAAACACACAACTGCACTCCATGGTATCATTGATCTGTTGGTGTGATTCACAATAAAGATTAACGCCCATATTCTTAAAACAAACTTTAGTCGAACTTCGAACTAGAACTTTATTTAGTGCTAGTTCCAGCTTCAACTTCAATTTGTATTCAGAAACAACGTAGTCGAAGTTTTAACTACGACTAAATCAAGTCCTAATTTTAGTTCAACTGAAGACGACTGGCAAACCACAACTATCAAACTATATTAGTTAAATATATTACGATAGAGAATTTGAACAGTCACTAAAAATTTGCTTTCTTTGGAGAACTATTATAGTTAAAGCCTGAGCGAGGGCAGCGGCATCTTTGTTGTTGTTATGGTGAAGCTACATGACTGCAACGCGAGGGGATTTCGTGAAAATCAAGATCTATCGCATGTGGCTAGCAAAACATGTTAACTTCTCCTTTTGGAAGCTAAACATGATGTCTCTTTTGTTTAACACACCGAAGATATATCAAACCTCCGTATACAATCGTTTTTATTCGTTCCACTTTATCATGAGTTACGAAAATCATGTTTTTAATGGGGTAAATATTTCAAGTCGGCGATTTAGCCTGACCCTAGGCTGACTAAAAAAATCAGCCTGAGGAGGCATAATTTAAGTAGAGGTTCGGGTGATTTAGTCGTAGTGCTAGTCGAAGTTCGTTTTAAGAACACGAAATGACGTAATTTTGAAGGTTTAGCTCGAACTACGACTAAAGTTCGTTTAAGAATAGTGGAGTAAGACTAGGGACACAAGTCTTAATCTTTATTGTGAATCACACCAACAAAGTATGCTACATGGTAAAAATCACATGGTTTTTGAAGTGAATTTGAATAAATTATAAAAACTAGTCAATGAATAAGAAGAGTAGTGACAACGAATTATTTGGAATTTTTCCAAAAAAAATGGACAGAATATCAAATTTGATTCGTGAGAAAAATTCCTGCAACTGACAGGAATTGAACCCATGACCCTGGGATTGGAAGGCAAGCATCTTAACCACCAAGCTATTCAACTCCACTTCAACTCAACTAATAATGGTATAGTCATTTCATGCCCTACTTTTTATAATCATTAATTTGATATATATTTTTAGTGATATTCACTTAAGTGCAACAGAACATAATTGTTTTGTAACATAGAACATTTCCTTTTAACATGCATCTCAATATGCATTAGTTTTTAATCAGTTTACTATATATAGCAGAATGTGTCAACATACTGTGCGGTTGATAATTAATTGAAATAGGAAATTATATAGGTTGTCAGAAAAGCAATTATCAGAAAATCATCAAAATCAGGTATCTCATAGGTAAACTGAAGAAAACAATCTTTGGAGGAAGTCTTAAATGAAATGCGTGGCAGACATTTTGTAACTCAGATTTTTTCTAACTCTGGTTTCAAAATGTCTGGGTTAGACATTTTCTGCAATAGTTACAAAAAGTGCAGGTTATTAAATGTCAAAACCTTGCTTAAAATACGGACAATATCACAGACTTTTGCAAGCTGAAATCGTATATATTGTTTCATTTGAGTTTTTTTTTTCAAATATGTTGATGGATCAACTCTCAGAGGTCTAAACAAGAAAGAACAACATACTGCTTTAAACTAAGGCCCTATAAGGCACTAGGACCATCACCCTACCAGCATTGCTTTTGTCGGAATCTCTCTTTCAAGTTTTCAATAATAATCAAATTTGTTCCTAGAAGAGTTTCAGACATTCCAAACCCTGAATGTTCAAAACACTTTAATCTAGAAAGTGCTGTAATTGGACAGGCCTAACCAATATTACCAATCAATATCAAATCTACTTTCTTAGCCTTTTTTTAAACTGTTGGACTGACTGACCTGTCT